CGCGGTTCTTGACAAAGCACCAACTCATGGCCCAAGTTTAGGTCCTTCGAGCAGCGTAGAAGCTTCAGAGTGTTCTTTATGACGGAAAAAGACTTGAGAGCACCTTGAAAATGTCACGTCTTTTGTGCTTCTGCATGAGGCGCGTAACCTTGAACTCTTCTCAGGCTTGAAGTGGTGTTTGGGCTTCCTGGCTCAGGGCTTAGTGAATTCAGATTTCAACATACAGGACACGTGTGGTAACCCTTAGGGCTGCATCCCGGCTGGAAGTGGTGAACTGCGCGGTTTTACACCGTGCTTGTGTGCTTCTGCACTTGCAAATGGCATCCGCTGAGCACTGGCTGAGACTTAGGAAGGTTGCAAAACTTAGCTAGACTTCTCATGAGATGTAACTCTTAACATCACCGTGATAGACAGTGATGATGTGTATCATCTTCGGCATCATGATATTACCATGTTCGCGGTCCGCCTTGGCCATCACGCACCGGATTACCTCGCAAATGTGAGTTACGCAGGCTGAGGACTCCGGGCATAGCAGCTTTGCCCCTGATTCCTGGCTTCAGACCGAAACATTGCCCACAACGACTGGAAGAGGAATCACTACGTATGAGAATTCTGTATGATCTGCCTTTCAAGTTGGCATCATGATCTCGTAAGTTTTGGAGTCAACAAGGAGCTTCGCGAGTAAGTTAGAGGCACTGGTTTGTGACTTTGGACATCTGGGCCCATGCGGGGCTGAAGGATTCGGATTAGTGGTTTCGATTTTACGGTCGAGGCTCTTGGATTGGATTGCCAGTTTGAAGCTTGGGAGCCTGGGAGTCAAGGGCCTTGAGTTTAGGATGCCTCGCCTCCGAGAAACCATCGAAAGAAACATGAGCGACGGTCTTGATGGAATTCACGAAAGGTCCTCAGAATGAGCGTTCGTCATGCTTTCATATGCACAATCATTCATACGGAGATTGCACTGACATTCTTCCGTGCAGTGGTTGACTAAAGCCTGAAACCCCTGACAACAGCTAGTCAGAACACGCTCGACGACAAACCCAAACCGGAAGCTTCAGCAAGACCCTTCACCACAAGACCCCCAAGCCCCTACACCTCAACTGGCCCCAAGTCCAAAACCAGATCCCGGACTTCCGAACCCTTCATCTCCTCATCTTTTCAATGACCGACGTAAAGCCTCCTATAAAACCGAGAAACCCCGAACCCTAACTCCGCCTGTGCCAGGCGGGCGAGGATCACCAACGCCGCTACAACACCCACCGTGCGGGCCCAAAGCCTGCTAAATTGTAGGGACGATGGCTTGACAAGGTCTCACTAACTGGGGCCGTCACGACATTAGGGGGTAGCCCATCTAAGAGCCCTGAGACAAGCATCCCATGCTTTGGGTCCCGTCTTTTCGGGAAGTCCCAAGTTGTGCATCGGGCCTATGGGGCTTGAAGGGGATGCATAAGACTTTAGGCAGCTTTGCCGGGTGTGATCGTCGACATCTCTCCCGACACTCACCATGATAGTAGGAGACTGGGAGATGGTCTCAAATTCTGATATGATGGTAGCATGATGGGCTAAGAGCACAAGGGTCCGAACATCAACACCAAAGAAGCCGGAGATTCGCGGTATGGCAAAAGGCATTAATGTATGTTCATACATACTTATCATTTGGTTGCACTGATACTTTCCGCGTCCTGATGAACGACCAATCCGACATTAAACTTAGCCTGAAGCACGCTTCCTGGTGAAACCGTCCACGTACCACCCCGCATCGGTTCGTGGCAAACCCGGCCCCTCAGCAGTGTGCTTCACTGCTCGATGGCCTGAGTGCTTCAATGTGTTGAGTGCTTCGGGCTTTTTTGCAAACTGGTCACAAGACCTCTTGAACCCCCTGAGAGAACCATCGAATAGCCGCTCTGCTATACAATACGGGGGGCCTGATGTCCAAAACCCCCAAACCTTAATTCGGAGCGCTGAACCCGAAACCCGAAAAACCCTAAACTCCAAGAACCAGATCCCCAAAGCCAAACCTCTGAAGTAAGGGATCTAGGCTGCTGGAGTTTCCGAGCTTCCCAGTGTGTAGATATCTGGGCCCCTCTCACCCTAACCCCTAAACCCTAAATCCCTACCTAGAACCTCAAAGCCTAAAAAACCTACCCCTGAAAAACCCTAAAACCCTAAAACCATAAAAACCCTAAAAACCCGAAAATCCCTAAACACCCTAAAACCCCAAATCCCTAAAACTCAAAAACGCTAAAAACCCTAAAACCCCAACACCCTAAAACTCAAGAACCCCCAAAACCCTAAAAACCCTAAAACCCTAAGCGTGAAACTTCAAAAACCCTAAAAACGCGAAAACCCTAAGCCTGAAACTTCAAAACCCCTAAAATCCCCAAAAGCCTAAGCGTGAAACCTCAAAAACCCTAAGAACCCTAAAACCCTAAGTGTGAAACCTCAAGAACCCTAAAACCCTAAGCGTGAAACCTCAAAAACCCTGAAACCCTAAGCGTGCAACCTCAAAAACCCTTAAAACCCTAGACCCTAAGTGTGAAACCCCAGTCTTGGAAGGAGCCTTAGGCCGGGAATCGGCTTGCACGGGTGGTCCCAGTCAGCATACCTCAGCTTCCGGCGCAGGGCTCGGGGGCGACAAGAATTAGGGTTTTAGGGTATAGGGTTTTAGGGTTTAGGGTTTAGGGTTCAGTGTTTGAACCCTAATCCCTAAAAGCCCCTACACCCTAAAAGCCTAAAAGGGTTTGCCAACTATACGTATTAATCTCCAACATTCCCGACAACGAACCGGTTAAGCTTAAAGGATGCAAGGTTGAAGGCTTTTGCTCATCAAAGGAATCAAACGGGTGGTACAGGGGAGGAGAAAGACACTACTGCGATGGCAAGGCCGCAAAAATTACTGAGTTTAAGCAACTGCCAGGGTCCTTGTTGTAGCCCCTGTAGCCTTATTGCTATTTGGGTAAGCTTTTACTAACCTCATAACAGCATCTAGACGTGGATTAGTCAAGGATTTTGGAGCGCTGCCGGGATGCTCCGACACGGCGGCCACGGAAAGGACCGGGAGCAGAACCAGGAAGATTTGCAGGAGCTGGCCTTGTGCTTCCTAGCTCCTACATTCTCTGCGGTGAGGCCTTTGCTGTTTTAGGGCGTGGTGGTCTCCACAATAAATCTTCGGTGCTTCACTTGGAGGGGTTGCGAGGTGTCGGGATAACAGGAATACCTGACCGAGCAAGTCTCGGATCTACGATATCTGGGGCAAGAGTGGGGGCAACGACAAGAATCTTCGCAGTGTCGCAGTGGTAGCAGCCGTCGAGTCTTACCTAGCAAGTTGGTGCCATGCAGAAGACTTGTGTTGCGCGTAAGACATGTGCAAGTCTACCTCCACTAGTAGCCGACTTGCTAAAGCCTCCAAAGCCCAAAACAGGAGGAAGTCTGAGCTCCCCACAGACCATGTTCACGTTCAGGTTGGCCTAAGATCTCTTGCGTCAGGCTTTTGGGTCTTGGGTTGGGGATCAGGATTTGGGCTTGGGGTTCCGGGTTTTGGCATTTACCGCTTTCGGAAGTTGATTTACATCCCGTGTCTCCAGCTAACTGACTAAACAGCAGAGGTGAGGGATGCTTGAAGCTTGGAAGGGAAACGTCTTGCATCTGCATGTGTGCCAATTTCTATCCATTCATTTCTCGGTTTACGGACACGGACTGCAGGACCCGGCAGCTTTCGCACGACCATGGTAAAGGCCAGAGCTCAGGGTGCTGTTTTGGACATCGTGCGGAGTTTCAACTTGCTCTGCTTTCAAATTGTGGGCTTCCGGTGCCGCTAGCAAGAACAGACCTCAGAAGCTGCGAATCCAGCGAACTGGAAGCATAAGCTACAAACCCTGATCACAGAGACAAGAACCTCACCCCCACACTTTGGCAATGCTAAAACTCCACTTGAACCCTTAACCCTCCCGAAACCTCGAATCCCAAACTCCAAACCTCAAACTCAAAATCCTAACCAGCAAGCCCCAAAGCCCCATTCTCTGTCCGAGGGGCCGGGACAAGCAGGCCGGCAAGGAGCACAGAGAGGGGTGGGAAGTTGGCTGCCAACGCGGCATCCTCCCGACGTAGCAATGATATTACAGGAGGGGTTGGGGTTGAGGGTTTAGGGTTTAAAAACGGGTTGGGGAGCCGAGGGCTTGGGAAGCTTGAGCTTCATGAATACTGCTGCTACGACTAGGACAACTACGACCAACACTGCTACAACTACTACTCCTACTCGCACTCCTACTCCCACTCCTACTCCACCTCCCACCACCACCGTCGACAACGACGAGAACCACGACCGATATTACTACCACTGCCAGAATAACGCAGTAGTGGGAGCAGTAGTCGTCGTCACAGTAGCTGTAGCTCAGGTTAGTTGGTGTTGTTGTTGTTGTCGTAGCTATTGCTGTTGCTGTCGCTGTTGCCGTTGCCGTTGCTGCCGCTGCTGCTGCTGCTGCTGCTGCTGCTGCTGCTGTTGCTGTTGCTGTTGCTATTGCCGTTGCCGTTGCCGTTGCTGATGTTACTGTTGCTGCTGTATTGTGTTTGCTTTGAAGACATTTTGGATCTTGATCTCACGCAGCTTTACATCCGAGTCCCGCAGACCAGGATGTTTTGCACGATGTTTAGATCCAGAGCGCAGCGGCATCAAAGTTGAAAACAGCCCAGCCTCGTCCAGGAGTACCATGAACTCCTCCACGGTTCATGGCTTGCGGGGCTCACGGTCTAGGGTTGAAGAAGGTGGTGTACTCCGATGCAACAGCTAACCCAAAAAAAAACATGGGGACGAGGGACGCGCGTGGAAGGAAGAAGGCGCAAAAAATCCTCCTATACCATCCCTGAACCTTAGCGACAGGCTCAACTCAGATCAAAACCCCAAGCCCTACCTCGAAGCCTTCTATCAACCCACATCTGCTCCAAAACCCGGAACAAACCTTTTTAGTAGTATTGTCCGATTGTTTTGCTCCCAAGACCTGCATTCATGTGGGAAGGACGTTCTTCATCTTTCCGATGCGACGAATCATCTCCTCTCTACGCTCCTGCTGGTCTTCCTCGTAGCTTTCAGCAACCGCTTCCTGAACCACTTTCTTCAGCTGCGGTCCATCGTCTCGAAGCTGCTGCAGCATCCGATCGAAGAGCTGCTTCCCAGTCAGGTCAATCTGGGGACAACTTTCGCTGATTGACATAGCCAATCTCTCGGTGTGAAATCCACAAAGCCCAGAGACGTCCAGGAAACAGAATTTGAACATTTTGACTGCAGTCTGAGCAGCCGGGTTGTCACGGAAGAATTCGACATTCTGCCAGGGTTCTACAACCCCAGTGTCAAAACTTGTGTTCATGAAGACTAAGTCTGCCTCGCGTTTCACTCCTTCTTTCTCACGTTCCAGCTTGATGCACTTCTTGCCCATGTGTACAAATGTCCATCCATCGGTGTCCTTGGGCAGTCGGTCGCAGAGAATGTCTCGAAAATCTGCTCGCTGGTTTCGGGTGACATTTTCAGCCGTATAGATGTTCAGATCGAGATCCGACGAGAACTTCATGCAAGTTCGTGTGCGAGTGGAGCCAGCCTTGATCTTCGACGCGATGTGCATGCCGCTTCCCCATGCACTAACTTTGATTGCATGCAGCAGGAATTGTGGGATGCCCTCGTCGGGTGCGGTTATACTGTTTGCGAGAAATATGAAGTCACCTGCACTCAGGTTCATCACATACTTGATTCTTTTCCGCGTTGCCAGGTTTTTTGACGCATGTGCCATAGTCACCAAACCCCGGTGGCGATGCGTGCATGGCCACATGAGTCCAGTGATGCTTCCTTCGCTGCGGCACATTGTTCCCGAATCCAAGCCAGGGAAGCACCCACGATGTTGCCAAGTGGGACATACTGAGAAACAGGAGACATCCTGAGATTGCACTGGCCTTCGTCACGTTGCGTAGACGTGTCATTGCAAGGACCTTCCCAGCAAGATTACCAAGTCCCTACGCAAGGAACCGAAAAATGCAGCACCACGCCGAGAACGCCGCAGCCGAGATTCGAGCTTACGATGTGGGGTTTAGGTTTCTTGGTTTAAACTATGCGGCTTTGGAGATTCTACTGCATGTCGCAAGGTGTAAATCGAAAATGTGGCTTCCCTGCAAAGCGTTCCGACTCACGGCTGCTTTATCTCACTACTAGTGAGACTGGCACCATGCATGCCGGGACTGGCACCATGCATGCGGGGCCTGCACGGAGTGGTACAAAGATAGAGGTCTGTCCTCTTGACAAGGATTGCACCCCCCAACCCTTCACTAGTTGGAGCCGGTTGACAAGGGCTGTACCCCTCAACAATGCATAACCTGGCATAACCGTACAGAACGCCCACATGAGAACCCGCCAGCGCAGCCTCACGGAAAGCCCAACCCAGAAAGGGACAGACTCACAGAAAGCCGACATGCAGTTCTGCTTTCGATTCTGCCTGGGCCCTGTTGAAGATAACGACCATCGTCGGCGATGCCCAAGCCCCCGCGGCTAGGTGCCTAGAAGACTTTAGAACTAAACCCTAAAATGCATGAACCCAGGGTGGTCTTGGGGTGAGCGGTCTGCTACGCACAGGTGCGAGC